TTTCCTCGCCTCCGGGGCTTCAGATATAAAAAGATGCTACTTTTACACGAGTCAGAAATCACAGTGCGGAATAAACACGAATGTGCGTGCAGGGGCAATTGACGGAATTTTCGGTACTCAGTGCTTTCTGGTGACTTCGATCAGAGTTTTTGTTTGTGGGGTTGAGGTGTGAAGTGTCTGCTGTAGTAAACACTGGCCAGATAACATCTCTCTCCCCCCCCCCCCACACCCCCCCTTCCCACACACCACACACACACGTACACACTGTGAGAGTCGCTGTCTGCTGACATCTCGCAAGGTGGTTGTGGGGGGGGGGGGGTGTGGGCACGAGTGGTCACACCTGCTCTCTGTCTGTCTCTCTGACCTAGAGTTTGTCTCTGTCTGTCTGTGCATCTTTATCTGTGTATGTGGGTCTGTGTATATTTCTGTGAGTGTCTGTGTGCGTGTCTACGTTTATTCCTGTGAGTGTGTGTGCGCATCTTCTGTGTGTGCGTGTGATCGTGATCAGGGTTTGATTTAGCCGACAAATAAAGAGTATTGCTGGGGAGGTGGGAGGGTGGGGATGATGTGCTTGTAACTGCATGAACCTTCCTCCTATCAACACACTCACGTTTTCCAACCAGAATCTATATACAGCCACAGACTATTTGCAGACAAGTTCACCTGAGTGTAGCCTGGAGAGCAATGCCCATCCACTATATGTCTTCTTTCTGATGTTGGATCAATTTGAGATCAAATAATGAACATTATGTAGATTTATATATATAGAATATATGCATAAGAAGTTTAATTCCACTTAAAAAGGTTTTTTTTTCCAAATAGTCTCTCTTCTAAACCAGTGGCGAGAGCGCAGTGTGTGTGTGTGTGTGCGTGCGCGATGGGTGGGTGGGGAAGAGGGGAGAGCGTCCTAACAAAGTTTGCGGAGAAAAATGCGAGATGTCACTGTGGGAATAATGCCCTTTTTACTGCGGGGGTAGGAATCAGTCACTGTGACAAGAGATTTAAAGTTAAAATCAACCGTGTGTGTCCGTGCGTGAAGGAGTTGTGTGTCCGTGTGTGTGCAGCCAGCGTAGCTCGGTCGGTAGCACTCTCGCCTCTGAGTCAGAAGGTTGTGGGTTCGAGCCCCACGGGCTTTGAGCTCCCAGCACAGTGCTGAAGAGGAGCACACGCTTACAGACACCTTGCTACTGGGATGAGACTTTAAACCGAGGTCGAGGCTGTGACCTGTTCAGCTGAGAATCCTCCAGGTAAGTTATCCATTCGCTTTGCAGTGCACAATTCGCACTACGCTGTGAAGCGCCACAAAAAGTTCGTTGCTATATCAAATGCAAGGGCTCACCTCAGTCCATTTGCATAAATGTGCTGCGACCGCAATTGGGGACAGGACTGCTTTTTAAAACCAACTGCTTAAGCTGGTCCCGGAAATCTTTGAGGAATATTCTTTTAATAATTTGGATCATTAAAGTATTTGAACCTTTTTAGAATTTCTCAAGCTTTCTGGTAAAAAAAATGCAGTGGTATAAAGATGCAAACACCTGTTTAAATAAAATTTAACTATAAATAAAAATGCTAAATGTATTTAAAAGCTTAAATATATATAACTATCAAATATGTTTAAATATAAATATAAATGCCTGGAAAAAGTCAATTTATATTATTATATTATGTATTATTAAATTTAGATTATTTTTAAAACGTACATAATGAATGCTGAGAAATTAGTGATGGGGTTAATTGCTCATATAATTGATTGATTTAGTAAATAATTGGCTTAATTTAGTCTCCATGGAGCTTTGTTGATTTAATTGTGTGGCAGAAAGGGAAAGATTATTTTCAAATAGTTTAATGTAATTAATTTAATAATAATCCTTATCACACTGTCGACATCTCTCAGGTCTTTGAGACGTCTCAACAGTGTGATAAGGCGCTATATCAAATGCAAGGATTATTTTATTATCATAAAGCACTTCGCGGGTTTCACTATTAAGTGTAGTGACTGTGTGTTTTGTCAAATTTGGCAGGCAATTTGACAAAAAACACTCAATGAAACGACTGATGAATTGTTGATTAATGAGTGTCTTAAGAATAATCAGGCGTTTATGGCATGATCTTTCCGATTCACGTGTGTGTTTAGACTTTATAAATCCGAAACAAGAACCTTTAGTGTTTTTAAGAATGAAATAAGTATAAATAACTGAAAAATATAGCGGGATGCAGGGGCGGGAGGTGGCGCGGGTCATGATGTGGTTAATGTCAAATTATTTGCATAGTTTCTAGGTGAACTCCTCCCCCCCCATATTTCTAACATCCTCAGACACCATCTGATTTCCCATAAGAAGTCAATGTCATAAATACACGCCCACACACTCAAAGCCATGCAGTCTTTCTCAGCTTAAGGCCGTCTCTCTCTCTCTCTTGCGTCTGACCAAACCAGCGGCAGTCTCGCCCACTGCATTCAATCCTAATCCTTGCATTTGCTACTGCGTTTTATCACGTCATCGAGCCACTATAGTTATATATTGGCACAATTGGCTGCCAAGTTTCGCCCGCAAATATGCAGTCAATTCACTTCGCGGCATATTCTGGAAGACGTGAAAAGCGCTATATCAAATGCAAGGATTATTATTACAGTAGTAGCGGTCGGTTTGTGCACTGAGGCTGACTGTACCGCACGTCCAGGAATTTGTCATTCTTTCCTCCCACGTAGCCTTTCTGGTATTTACGTAGTGTTTTACACCAGCTTTGGACATGGAAGTCCCACCCAGAAACTTTGGACTTTTCCCAAAGAGACTTCTTCATAGGTCTTAGTTCCATACAGGTCGTTAATAACAATAATAATCCTGGGATTTGGTACAGCACCTTATGTTGTGGAGACGTCTCAAAGGGCTTCACAGACTAAACTGTAAAGTGAATTGACTATATATTTTGTGAGCGAAACGCAGCAGCCAATGGCGAACAGCAGTGGATTGAGTGACCACATTTTTTTTCAAGGCATTATTTACCCGAGAAAAGTAATCCGCCAATCGACTAACCGCCGTGTTACTTATTTACTGCGAGCTAAACAGAGGCGTGCGGGGAGTAAGCGCGCCCGCCTAACGTTTCACCCCGCCCGGAATCTGTTACGCCCTTCACAATCTCGTCGCCAGCCTTTTCTGCGCTTGCCTGATGTTTCGCCCTGGCCGGGAATTGAACGCGGGTCCTCCCGCTTAAGAGGCCCGGGTGCTCCGACCCCAAAGCTGGAGGGACGCGTCGCTGAGCCCTCGCAAGAGCCCCTTCACGGAACGTACCGTAAAATGCAGTGACTGTGTATTTTTTATCTGTTTGTGCGTAAAAACGGAATAAAGTCCATAACAATGAATACCGAGGGTAGGAATCCCTCCCTCTGATGATGATGATGATGATGTTGGGGATGATGATGATGGGGATGATGATGGGGATGATGATGATGGGGATGATGATGGGGATGATGATGATGATGATGGGAATGATGATGATGGGAATGATGATGATGATGATGATGGGGATGATGATGGGGATGATGATGATGGGGATGATGATGATGATGGGGATGATGATGATGATGGGGATGATGATGGGGATGATGATGATGATGGGGATGATGATGATGATAGGGATGATGATGATGGGGATGATGATGATGATGATGGGGATGATGAGGATGATGATGATGATGGGGATGATGATGAAGATGATGGGGATGATGATGATGATGGGGATGATGATGATGGGGATGATGATGATGGGGATGATGATGATGATGATGATGGGGATGATGATGATGATGATGGGGATGATGATGATGATGATGATGGGGATGATGATGATGATGGGGATGATGATGATGATGATGGGGATGATGATGATGATGATGGGAATGATGATGATGATGGGGATGATGATGATGATGATGATGATGATGGGGATGATGATGATGATGATGGGAATGATGATGATGATGGGGATGATGATGATGATGGGGATGATGATGATGATGATGGGGATGATGATGATGATGATGATGGAGATGATGGGGATGATTGATGATGATGATGATGGGATGATGATGATGATGATGATGATGATGATGATGATGATGATGATGATGATGATGATGATGATGATGATGATGATGATGATGATGATGATGATGATGATGATGATGATGATGATGATGATGATGATGATGATGATGATGATGATGATGATGATGATGATGATGATGATGATGATGATGATGATGATGATGATGATGATGATGATGATGATGATGATGATGATGATGATGATGGATGATGATGATGATGATGAGGATGATGATGATGATGATGATGATGGGGATGATGATGATGATGATGGTGGGTGCTTCCACATGACACAATGCCGCACACGCTGACAGGGTGGTGGTGATGGGTGGGGGGGAGGGGCAGAGCTGCTATCACCATTGGTGGAGGGTCATGTCAATCACACCAGCACCGCCCCCTCTCAGCCCCGCCCCCGCCCCGCCCCCGCCCCGGCCCCGCCCCGCCCCCGCCCCCCCCCGCCCCGCCCCCGCCCCGCCCCCTGGCTGTCAATCACACAAACCAGGAAGTGAGCGCTGGTGAGGAGTGAGGAGTGACGGTGCGCACCTCCAGGGTCGCGGATCCGGGATCCCAAAGGCCTCTCTTTACCCCCTCCGACCCCCCCCACCATCACCCCCCAATACCCCACCATCACCCCCAATACCCCACCACACCCCCCCCACCACACCTCCCCCCACCACACCCCCCCACCACACCCCCAATACCCCACCACACCCCCCCCACCACACCCCCCTACCCCACCACACCCCCCCCACCACACCCCCCCACCATCACCCCCAATACCCCACCATCACCCCCCAATACCCCACCACACCCCCCCACCATCACCCCCCAATACCCCACCACACCCCCCAATACCCCACCCCCCCCCCCCCCCTCTCCCCCCCCCCCCCCCCAGCACTCCCTGTGCACAGGGGATCGATATCGCCTTCATATATGTTTTCTGCCACTTACGGGACCAGAGGTCGCTGCTGTCGGGCGACCACTCGCCGAGGAGGTGGTGAGTGAGCCTTCCCGAGAGGGAGAGGGGGGACAGGGGCTGTGTGTGGGTCAGTCTGTGTCTGTGGGTCTGTGTGGGTCAGTCTGTGTCTGTGGGTCAGTCTGTGTCTGTGTGTATGACTGTGTCTGTGGGTCAGTCTGTGTCTGTGTGTCTGACTGTGTCTGTGGGTCAGTCTGTGTCTGTGGGTCTGTGTGTCTGACTGTGTCTGTGGGTCAGTCTGTGTCTGTGTGTATGACTGTGTCTGTGGGTCAGTCTGTGTCTGTGGGTCTGACTGTGTCTGTGGGTCAGTCTGTGTCTGTGTGTCTGTGTGGGTCAGTCTGTGTCTGTGTGTCTGACTGTGTCTGTGGGTCAGTCTGTGTCTGTGTGTATGACTGTGTCTGTGGGTCAGTCTGTGTCTGTGGGTCTGACTGTGTCTGTGGGTCTGTCTATATGTCTGACTTTCTATCTGTGGGTCTCCGTCTGTGTGTGTGTGTTAGTTTGTGGGTGTGTGTATCTAAGTGTATATCTGTATGTATGTGTCTATCTATACCTGTGTGTGGGGGGGGGGTCTGTGTGTGTGGGGGGGGGTCTGTGTGTGTGTGTGGGGGGGGTCTGTGTGTGTGAGGGGGGGTCTGTGTGTGTGTGCGGGGGTCTGTGTGTGTGTGGGGGGGTCTGTGTGTGTGTGGGGGGGGTCTGTGTGTGTGGGGGGGGTCTGTGTGTGTGGGGGGGGTCTGTGTGTGTGGGGGGGTCTGTGTGTGTGGGGGGGGGTCTGTGTGTGTGTGGGGGGGTCTGTGTGTGTGTGTGTGGGGGGGTCTGTGTGTGGGGGTCTGTGTGTGTGGGGGGGGGTCTGTGTGTGTGGGGGGGGTCTGTGTGTGTGTGGGGGGGGTCTGTGTGTGTGTGTGGGGTGGTCTGTGTGTGTGGGGGGGGGGGGGGTCAGTGTACATTGCCACTGGGGCCTTGGTAAACAGATCAGGCTAATCGGGTGTGACAGTATTTCTTGTGACTGTGTTTCTATTTATAATAATAATAATAATCCTCGCATTTGATATAGCGCTTTTCACGTCGGGAGGACGTCCCAAAGCGCTTCACAGAACACACTGTAAAGTGAATTGACTGTATATTTGTGGGCGAACGCGGCAGCCAATTGCGCACAGCAATGTCCCACAAACAGTCGTGGATTGAAAGTGACCAATTTATTATTGTTTTTTGTTTTGGAGGGATTATTATTAGGCTCTGTGTGGAGTAAGGAAACTTGCCCAAGGTTTCGCCCTCTGCCTGGAATTGAACTCAGGTCTCTCACTGGCAAAGCGAGTGCTCTAACCACTGAGCTACAGGACTCCACATTGTCCTATTTTCTGGTGGATTCAGTTTGCTGCAAAATCTAAATGTAGACCAGAGTTGGGAGCTGGAGTGGGGGTGGGGGAGATCACTAAGGTATTCCCCAAATTCCTTCGTTGGGGGGGGGGGGGGGAGGGGGTTATGAAATTTGCCACACTTCTGAATTGTTTCGGTACGATATCGAATGCGTTAGGAAACTCCGCGATTTCACAGAGTGTGCGTGTTAGTTAAATGGAGAGAAAGTGGGTTATAAATGGGAGAGGGGAAATGCCAGTGTTACACACACATATATATATTATATATATATATATAAGATTGAGGGCGCGCACCTCCAGGCTCCAGAGTGAGTGAGTGAGCGTTTGTCACTGTGTTTTACTGTTCAGGTTTTGTTTAGCGAACAGCTGGCAATCTGCGCAATATCTGGCCTCATAACACACAGACATCCTGCCTTGGGAAAGGGGGGGGGGAGAGAGAGAGAGAGAGAGAGAAGGAGGGGGAGAGAGAGAGAAAGATGGGGAAGAGAGTGAGACGGGGGCGGAAGAGGGGAAGGGGAAGCTTTAGACTGACCCTGAAACAAATGCACTATTTATTAAAAAAAAAGTCAACTCGTTACGGCTTTATATTTTAAAGATCACATTTCTGTATACCACGCCGTGTGTGCCCTGTTTCCCCACCCCCAACCCACCCCCACCCCCATCTCGTGTCCGTCCGCGAAATTGTACAGAAACGCTTTGTGTTTTGTAGTCATTCAGCTGTCTCACAGAGCTTCACAGGATTTTAACGGAAAGTGTAGTGACTGTGTAATGGGCAAACTGCAGCAGTTGATTTGCACATAATGACATCCCCCCCCCCGCACGCCATGAAGCGACCGAGTCATTTTTTTTTTGTCTGGGGGATTGTTGGCCAGGACGTCGAGAGAGAGATAAAACTCACCTCTTATCTCTCAATCGTGCCCACGGGAGATCTTTAACATCCACCTGAACAAGGGGCGCAGACTGTGAGCTACACGGAAACATGATGTTTAAGATATAAAACGTAACGAGCGATTGCGGTGTATGTAATTTACACCGAGATCAAATCAGAGACGACACAGTCAGCCTGGCTCAGTCACAACACCCTCTCGCTCCTTTGAGTCAGAGGGTTGTAGGTTGAAACTGAATGTGGGGACTTTGAGCTCACACTGGGCTGATGTGACTATGCAAAGTGTGCCGTATAAACACAAGTTGCTGTTGTTGTTAATGCTTGCTCCCCAACCCACTGCCCGCTGCCTCCGCCCGGCCGGTCCCGGGCTCCTGCGCGTCACTCGTCCCCTCCATTCCACCATCGATGGGAGCGCTATTAGCCATTCTTCCATTATCCCTCCGACTTGCCCCTTCCTTCTCCCATCTTCAGATTGTGCCTTCCTCTTCGACAGTGCCTATGGTCACATCCTCCTTCCCCCACCCCCCCCCCCACCCCCCCCCCAACTCGGCTGTCAAGCGCTCTGGGACGCTATCCTGCAGGAGAGGTGCTGTCATGTTCAGGTGCAGTGAGACCGAAGTCACGTCTGTGCCTGTTCAGATGGTCATGTGAGGATCCCACGACGCTGTGTTTACTATGCCATGACGATGGAACAGATGGTGCATTTTTTTTAATTGTTTTCGAGTTCTACACAGAAAGTTAATCTATAATTCTATCAGTAACCAAACAGACGCAATGACATACAGGCAGGAACCAAACATTGGCAAGAGACTGGGAGAGAGAGAGAGAGATAGAGGGAGAGAGAAAGACTGGTGGAGAGAGAGAGAGAGAGAGAGATGGAAGGAGGCACACAGAGAGACACATGGAGGGAAAGAGAGAGAAACAGAGGGAAGGAGGGAGAGACCAGAGAGAGAGACGAAGAAAGAGAGACAACACAGCCAGGAGGAGACAGACAGACAGACAGACAGCCAGACAGAGAGAGAGACATAAGATAAGAACATCATAAATGCTGGACGAACAAAAAGTCCCATCTAGTTCACCTTCCTGGCGGTCAAATACACATATACCTACGTGCTGGCGGGATGGTCCTCTGCATGAAGGGCACTAAATAAATGCAAGTTGTTGTTGCACTGTATCTCATAATGTTATTTCCTAAGAGAAAACTATCTAATCTGTCTTCGAAGGACTCAACACTTCCTGCTTCAACCGTCTCCCGAGCGATGCTGTTCCACAGGTTCGCTATTCGCTCACTGAAATAGCTTTTCCGTAGATTCGTTCTGAACTTACCCCCTTTCATTATCCTCCGGTTTTACTATTCTGGACAAGTTGAAACAGCCTGTCATGATTTACATACATTGTATGCCCCTTTAGAATCTTAAAGACAGAAAGAGAGAGAGAGACGGAGGGAAAGAAACAGACAGAAATAGAGAGGGAGAGCGACAGAGGGAGGGAGAGACAGAGCGAGACAATCACGAGCGCACACAGATTCCCAGCGCATAAGAAGATTGGAATTGAAACCCTGTGTTCATAACAGTGTTTGTGACAGAGCCACTGAGAGAAGATTCTGAGCAAACACAGTGAGTGAGGTTGGGGGGGGTGGGTGGGGGAGCGACCTGGAGGAAGGATGAATAATGTGCCTACGGTCACCTCTTAATGTCCCCGGGTGAAGGGGCGGGGGTGGGCTGGGGGGAGATTTTTGAGATATGAGACATATTTCGTCCACAGAATACGGTCATACGTTCACATAGTCAATTCACTTTACTGTATATTCTGTGACGCAGTTTGAGACGTCTTAAAACGTGACGAGGCACTATATCAAACCCAAGGATTACGATGATTATTATTATTATTATTATCAGGAGGGTTATTTTTTCATGGAACCCTTTCTGACAACTGGCTGCCGTTGAGGATGCTTAGGACAAAAGGGAATGGATAAATAATAATAGCAAATGATAATCCTTGCATTTGACATAGCGCCTTATCATGTTTTCGAGATGTCTCAAAGCGCCTCACAGAATATGCTGTAGAGTGTCGTGACTGTATATTTTGTGGGCAAAACCCGGCAGCCAATTGCCCACAGCAGTCAATCAACAAACAGTCGCGGATCGAGCGACCAATTTTTTTTTTGAAATTATTAACCCCGGAAAGTGATCCACTGATAACCGGGATGCTCGATAAACAGAAGCATTTTGAGCAAAGAAACTTATCTAAGGTTTGGCCCTGACCGAGAATCGAACCCGGTTCCTCTCGCTTGCGAGGCGAGCGCTCTAACCACTAAGCTACAGGATTCCCTGACCTATATCGAATGCAAGGATTATTATTAAGACCTGCCTTCGGTCACCTCACCCCTCTCTTCCCAACTCAACGTCGACCTGCACAGCTGTTAAACACTCCGAAGCGCTACCTGCTCAAAGGGTGCTCCAGTTGTTGCTGCTGCCCCTTTTTGTGGGCATTTTTCTTCGAGGTCGATCACCAGTAACTAGCTTAATGCAAGCTCTGTCGCGGGCGCTGTCTAAATAAAAGCTGTTGTCGTCATCTTTTATTGGAACGCTACTGGAACACTCTTCCTCTGTCCCTCCAGGTGAGACGTTAAACCTCACTCCCTGCCCGTGCCCTGTTCGGGTGGATGTTAAAGATCCCGCCGCGGCTCTGTTCGAAAAGGGGAGGGAGTTTTTTTTTTCTCTCTCTCTCTCTCCCGGCGTCCTGGCCAAAAATCCCCCAGA